CGGTGGGAGCTCCCACCCTATGGAACGAACTACCCCCAGAGATCAGGGTGATCCCTGATCTCCCTTCCTTCCGCCGCGCCCTCAAGACATGGCTATTTAAGCTAGCAGGACTGGCCTAAGGGGTAATTTTTAGTTGGGTTTTAAAATAATTTTTAAAATAACAAAGGCCAAATTAATATTTCCTTTTAATTATGTTTTTTAATGGTAGTATTTTTGTATTTGTTTTTATTAGGCTGTTAGCCGCCCTGAGTCCGCAAGGAGAAGGGCGGGGTAAAAATACAATTAAATAAATTAATAAAATAAATAAATTTAAGTGTGGAGGGGTGGTTTAAGTGACACTGTTCACCTAATGACTGCCACGGTGTGCGACCTCAACAGGCAGGGTCCCTTGCAGTTGCATCTCAAGAACTACCTGTGTCAATTGTGCAGTGTTTATTTTTGCACAGGCAGAGAATCCCTAAACTGCTCAAATGCTTCTCTGTGCAGCAGTTACAAAAATCCAAGAACACCACCTGGTGACAAGTAAGCGTTGCTGGGACTAAGATTCCAAAGAGTAGGGATCATCCCACATTGGAAATAGATGGCACTTAGTCTGGCACTGGTGATTTTTAATAGTTATAATGCATCAAAATCTTGCAATGTTCCAGTGCATGCTGAATAATTTGGGCCAGCTTAAAAAGGGACTGCATTTTTGAAGACTCCATTTTCAGTCATTTCATTTTTCCTGCCTTTTGTATGAGCCATTCCAATATATCTAATAACTTGCTGCTAACAAAAAGCTTTAAAGTAAAATGAAAAATCATTGCAGTAAACTTTGAAAGTTCTTTAGTGCCAGTTGTTACTATTTTCTTGTGAAATGACTATTGTACATCATTTATAAGCCAATTCTGTTGTGGCAGGTAAACTGTTATTTTAATCCTTATTTAAGAATAAAAAAGTTAACAATTTGAAAAGTTGTTTGAACTTTCTAATAACCCTACAGTCCAGATAGTTTTTCATGGTACAGAAAGACATTCTGATAACTCCATTCTGATAACTCCATTTGCCTTAGTGAACCCAAAGGTTAAATCGCTAACCTTGAAGCGGGCAAGTGCTTTGAAGGTTAAGGCAAAAATCATTTTCCCCTTCCCTTGCTGGGTTGGGTCTCCTAATGCTTCTGTCAAATGCTTGACAGAAATTCAGAGTTCCCTTAATCTCCCCCCATGCTATGGTTCTCCCCCCACCCCTTCAGTTTTCAGCCTGGTGTCCCTTCTTTGGACAGCTCTTTCAACCAAACTTGTGTAAAATTAACCTTAACACTAAACAGTGAGATCTTAATCGGGCAGAATGAAAAACTTGTTATTTTCACTTAAATGGATGGGTTAGTATTGGCAAAGAAAGAAACACAGACCTTTTTAGGAAGGAGGCCTGCTTTAGACCTTGAGAAGCAAGCATCATTAAAAAATTGTTTATTATGAGAATCCCCAAAAAGCTATAAACAGAGCCAACATTTACCTTGGTACATAAATAACACTTTCAAAGATGCTCAGGAACTGGTCCGGCCTCTCCAGTTACATGGCAGCAAAGCCAGGTAGGAAACGGGCCGGGTCCCTGCCAAGGCAGCCCATGCGCTTGCCAGGTGGGGGTTGCCAAAGCCAAGCCACAAATGCAGGATCTAAGTTAAGGCAAGACTGGCCCAACTCCTGCAGTTCTGCATTGCACGCAGTTTCCTCCCGGCTTGTGGATCTACAAGCCACTAAGAGCTGCAGACATGCGATATGCAAGCTGCCTTTGATAGATTTCTTCCTTGGAGAATGGTGACGATAATCCAATTTAGGGCTGTGTAAAGGACTCAAAACACATCTGGGCACAAGGAAAACGACATTTAGCAAGGGAAGCCCAATGGCAACTTAGCACACATCACAAAGCACCTAATCCACATTGTCCAATACCCTGAAATAAACAGGCTGATACGGTATGCTTGTCCTCTTCTACAGTACAGTTGGGCTGCTGACTTGCCTGGATTGGCAGGTACTTGCACGATCAAGGCAGAAGCTTCCCTGAAAGCTCTAGGCCAGTAGGTGCTCCCCAGGTGTGTTGGACTTACACCTTGGCTGTTCTAATGGGATTGTAAGACTTGACAGTCCTATGCATCTGGAAGGTGCAGCAAGTTGGAGATGGCTGGTGCAAACATGGAGCCCCTTGCTTGGAAGTCACAGGGCCAAGTAAAAAAAAGCTGCAGCAGAGATGATTACATGGAGGAGCAGAGCCTGTCCTGCAGCTGGGCAGGATCCCCTCAGTTGGGGTGGGGAGAGAAGAGTGGCTATCACAATCCCAGGCAGTTCTACACACTTCCTGCCTTCTGTTGGAAGACTGCAATAGCATTTCATCTCATAGTACTTTGCAGCACTCTTAAGTTGTTTACAGAGTCAGTGTATTGCACCCCAACAATCTTGGGTCTGTATTTTATTGATTTTGAAAGGATGGAAGGCTGAGTCAACCTTGAGCTAGTAAGGATCGAACTCCAGACTGGGCAGAGTTAGCCTGCAATACTGCATTCTAACCACTGCGTCACCACAGCGGGAGAGATAGCAGTAGCATTTAGTTATATACCGCTCCATACTGCTTTACAGCCCTCTCTAGGCGGTTTACAGCGTCGGCATATTGCCCCCAACTATCTGGGTCCTCATTTTACTGATTCTGGAAGGCTGAGTCAACCTAGAGCCGGTCAGGATCAAACTCCAGACTATGGGCAGAGTCAGCCTGCAATACTGCATTCTAACCACTGCGTCACCAGGGCTCTTAAGCTGCTACATCTCTGTCCCATCAACCTGACCCAAGAATTAAGCTTGCGGGGCTCCTTTGCCTGCCCTGATCTGGAGAGACATTTTCCCCACTTGCCATTGGGGTTCTGGGTCACTCTCCCTTTTTTGGGTGGGTGCAAATGTCCATCTTGATGAAAAGAGCTACTTTTTTTTCAATCAGGATAGAATTCCGGAAAGGAGATCGACCATACTTGGGATCAACCACTGGGTATGCATTAAGAAAATGAAGGATCCAACTTATTCCGAACATACAAGATTGCTCCCTTTATGTTACGCTTTTACAAAAAAAGGCGCACTCTACTGCGCAGGGATGAACTATAAGCAAGTTGCCAGAGCTACAGCACAACAACCAAGGCTTTTACAACAGATGGAACAAATTTATTCTGCCCTGCGGACAGGATGGCTGGCTAGCAACCTACAGTCAAGACGAGTCATCTAGTTTGGGTGTTTGAAAAAATGTGTTTGAAAAACTCAGCAATAGCACACATTTAAATTCGGTCTATTAAAAAATAAAAGAACAGTGGAACCCCCCATATTTGGGTACCCATTGAGGCAGTAATGATGAAAGGAGCTGAAGTCCCACATCAACGGTTGCTCTAGCAAGTCCCACCCACGGCAACTGGGCCCTCCCTGGCAAGATCTTAGGGGAGCCCTTCCTATGCTCCCCTGTGGCCCCACTCCCTTTGGCAGGCACTCACACAGGACATCAACACCGAGACTGCACAAATCTCTCCCTCCCCATCCCCAAGGCCCCTGTCTGCATTCAGATTGTCTTTTACTGCTTCTATCCCAGCTCTCTCTTGCAAAACCACCCGCCTGCCCTGGGGAAGGAAAAGAAGCTCCCCCCCCCCCTTTCAGTCCTTCCAAGCTTCACCTGGACAAAGACAACGAGACACAAGGAAGAGATTTGTAGAGCTTGTGCAGCAGGAAGGAGGAGAACAAGAGTGGCAGACACGGATGCAGCAGGCAGGGTGGGCTGCTTGTGGCAAGTCTCCTCGAAGAGGGGGGTCTGGACGGGACCCCCGAGAGAGAGAGGGAGAGTCTATGAGCGGCAGCAGCCGGCGCCTTTCACCTCCTTCCGGACATAGTCGTGGAGTCTGAACCGCGGCTCGTGGGGCAGCTTCATGGACCGATGTTTCAGCTCCCTGACAATTGAACACAAGGCTTGGTCAGCTGTCCACGGCCTGACCCCACGCCCTTCGCTTTGCCTGAATGAGAATGCAGGTCGCCCTCCACTCGTGACTTACAAGCCCCAGGTTTTTTATGTTGCTAAGTCAAAACTTCATTCACCAGATTCACTTAACAACAGAGTTGCTACTAATCTAACAACTGCAGCTTTTCTTCCCACATTTGTTAAATGGATCACTGCAGTTGTTAGATTAGTAGCAACTCTGTTGTTAAGTGAATCTGGCTCCGCTTTTGACTTTTTGTTTATCAGAAGGTCACTAAAGACGATCACGTGACTCTGGGACACTGCCGCCATCATAAATATGAACCAGCTGTCAAGCGTAAATCACGTGACCCTGGGGATGCTGCAACAGTCATGAAGTGTGAAAAATGGTCCTAAGTCACTTTTTTCAGGGCTGTTGTAACTTTGAACGGTCACGAAATGAACTGTTGTTAAGTCGAGGACTAGCTGTATTATTTTTAAAATGTGAAATATGGTAAATTCTTCCCGGTTTGGGGGAAGGGGGCTGGTTGATCATGCATTGGAAATCTGCACTGATTTTGCTTTTATTTATTTTTTTACAAATGCTTCAATCCATCAAATGTAAGGAGTTTGCAGAGCAAAAGTCTAATAAAGGCCAGCAATAGATATAAATCAATGCTATCTAGTAACATCTTGTTGTGAAAGTTCATAGTAACCCACGCCTCCCTCTTAGGTTCAAACTCTACATACCCTTTGAAAAGGAGGGTGCTTAGCAAGACCCCCTGACCTCTCAAGACCCAGAAGTCATTCCTGGAGAGCCATTGATGGACAGGGTCCTGCAGAGGATGCTGGCCTGAGCCCCTTCCTGCAGCCGCTCTTAGGGGCAGAAGCTGTCCTAAGCCAAGCTTGGCCCCTGATGGAAAGGGCTCAGCCCTTCTCAACCTCAGAGCGTTAAGCCTGCTGGCCGGGCAATTCTAGGAGTTGAAGTTGCCAAGGTTGAGCCAACCCCTGTCCAGACAATGTCCTTCTTCCCAGCCCTTGGGGTAATCCCCATCATGTGTGCCCCAGTGCCATTTTTGAGGCTGCCGACATGTCCTCCTGCCATGAGGCATCCCTCCATGGCGGTACAAGGAAGTCAAGAGGTCAGTGTCCAACCCACAAGGGCAGAAGATTTGGTCCACTTCCTCAGGATCAGCAAGGGACGTGTCTCCAATGTCCCTCCAATTCTGTCCAGTTAGCCTCCAATTCTGAGCAGAGGGGCCATTCCCTGAGAAGGTCTCTAAAGCAGAGGTCCCCAACTTTTTGGGCCCCAGGGCCCAAAGTTCCGTGGAGATAAGTTTTTCCGCGGACCGGAGAGTGCGTGGTTTTGTGTGTTGCCTGCATCCCGCAGATGGGGCTTTGCTTGTTTGTGTGGACCGGTTGCTGGCATGCTGCGGCCCGGTAACAGTCCACGGACCGGGGGTTGGGGACCCCTGCTCTAAAGGGCTCAGCTTGGGGGTCACAGCATCCTTCCTCCCAAGGGTTCAGGCCCCTTTAAAAAGAGTTGCTGGATGATGTCATGCCACAGATGTAATACCAGTGGCAAACTCATTTATTTTCCCCTTTATTATTTTTATGAATAATTCCAGGCAGCGAACATATCTAATATTCCTTCCTGATATTTTCCCCACAATGACAACCCTGTGAGGCGGGTTGGGCTGAGCAAGAGGGACTGGCCCAAAGTTACTCAGCTAGCTTTCATGCCTAAGCAGGACTAGAACTCCTGGTCTCTAGCTTGCTGCCTTAACCACTGGATCAGGGGTAGGCAACCTTGGCTCTTTTATGACTCGTGGACTTCAACTCCCAGAATTCCTGAGCCAGACCAAACTCATCCCACTAGGCTGCAGTTACCCTCATCCAGTCAGATTTGATGTCTTTTTCCTGCATTGCTCCAGGTGTTTCTTCATCTTCCGGAATTTCCCCCAAAATGGCAGCGCCTTGCTTTGCTATGGCTGCTTCGGCTATCAAGAGTGTTTCTATAATAGCTTTATACTATATAGCATCAGCCTGGTTAACTCTCAAGACTTTTTTTTCTGCTGTGTATTCAAAATGGACTGTGATATATATATGTGTGTGTGTGTGTGTATACATATATATGTGTGTGTGTATGTATATGTATGTGTGTATATATGTGTGTGTGTATATATGAATGACATAGATGATATGATATATGATATATATGATATGGATATATTTATATATATCATATATGTATGTGCATGTATGTGTTGTAGGGATATATCATAATTTCATTTTTTAATGTGTGCTAGTGTGTTCACAGAAAAAAGTGACAATAAATGATATCTTATCAGAGATGCACAGACACACACCATTCTCCTTCTGCCAAACGTTAGCAAACAGTGTTCGTGGGAACTGCATGTTGGTGAGGGATGTGCACTTTTGATGGGAAAATGGAAATGAAGGAACTTACTTGGCGATGGCCATGAATGCTAAGTCCACATTCAATCCGCTCTTGGCGCTGGTCTCCATAAAGGGCACCCCGTATTCCTGCACCAAAGAAAATAAAGCATTTGGGGCTGATGGTTTTCCTTTCCAATTCCCCTGGTCAGGCTGGACATGGGCCATCACACACACACCTCTGCATGCATGTTATCCTAGACCAGGGGTAGGCAACCTTGGCTCTTTTATGACTCGTGGACTTCAACTCCCAGAATTCCTGAGCCAGCATGGCTCAGCTTGGAAACCTCTCCCTTTCCCCTCAGCATAGCTGGCTCAGGAATTCTGGGAGTTGAAGTCCACGAGTCATAAAAGAGCCAAGGTTGCCTACCCCTGTCCTAGACAGTCTGCCTCAAGATGTCCCAGGGGTGGAACTACATTTTATACACTACTGCAGCCCAGAGATGCTGCAAAAAAATTGAATCCTACAATCCTAGGTTTGTGAGGGACCTTGGAGGTCTTCTAGACCAAAGGCAGGGGTCCTCATGCCATCTCAGACAAATTGTGGTCCAATCTTTTCTTGAAAACCTCCAGTGGTGGAGCATCCACAATTCCAGTAGGCATAAAGACACTGCATTATTATCAGAAAAAAGTTTTGGGAGACTAATGTTTAGCTGAACTTGTTGACTGCTTTTTTTTTTTTGCACATTTGTAAAACGGGAGGAGAACTTATTGCTTTTTTCTTTTCTTTCAGCACTCATCCAGGGTAGATCCTACATGTTAAATGTTATATTTAACTGACCACTTTTTTTCTCCTTTTTTGTACACTAGTTTTTTTTTTTGTGGTTAGAGTTGAATGTATGTTTGTGTTTTATTTCACTGTTCTGTATTTAATTCTCTATCATAAAACAATAAACCTATTCAAAGACAATTCCGGGAGGCAAGCAGTTCCATTGTCAGGAAACTCCTCCTTATTTCTAGGTCGGATCTCCCCTTAAATATTGTATGTATCAATGACGGTCAACCCTAAACCGGCCTTAGCAAAGTAGAAGGAATCAATCATTTCATTCTAGACCTAACTGGGCCCTTCCAGCTTGAGGTTTCTTTGATTCTATATTAACATGTTTTATATAATTTGGGATCAAAACTTGGAAGGAATTTGATAACATCCTTTCAGATGAACAGTTTTTATTAAAAGATACAATTAAAAAGTCAGAACGTGCTATCAGACCCCTGAGGTCTACAATGGTTTGGAGTTGGTATAGTCTATTATAACAGTGATGGCGAACCTTTTAGAGACCGAGTGCCCAAACTGCAACCCAAAACCCATTTATTTATTGCCGGGTGCCAGGTGGGCGTGGCCCACTGGGTGGGCGTGGCTGTGGTGGTCATGGCAGACGGGGTGGGTGTGGCCAAGGTGGGCGTGGTCACCTCGATGTTGCTCGTGGGGAGGGACACCTGTGGGGGCTGGGCAGGGTTGGGGGAGATCCAGGGGGGTCTCTGGCAGGTGGGGCGGTGGGCAGGAGGCTCATCCTGAGGGGTGAGGCGAAGCAAGACGAGGCAAGGCAGGGCGGGGGTACCATTGTCGCAGGGTGAGGCGAGGCCGGAGCGGCAGCTGCCTGACACCATCGGCCCCCGCACACAGAGGCCAGTGAGTGAATGGGGGCCGACAGTGTCTATCAGCAGCCACAACCTGCCGGCCCCTCAACCAGCGCACTCTGGGGCTCCGCAACCCGCCGCCAGCAGGTCAGAGAAGCCACCTCTGAGCTGGATGGACGGCCGACAGCTGAGGAGGCGATGCAGTGGGTCGTGTCTGGGAAAAGGAGAGCATGCGAGGCCAGGAGGGATGGGATGAGGGGGAGGGAAACCAGCCGTGCTGGGATGCATCCGGCCACGTGGGACCTTGGTGAGTTAGCGGGCAGCTGGTTGAAGAAGGACGGTTGCCATCTCCGGGGCATGGCGCGCGTGCCCACAGAGCAGGCTCTGAGTGCCGCCTCTGGCACACGTGCCATAGGTTCACCACCACTGCTCTATAATAAGGATTAACAAGTAATCCTCGACTTGCAACCACAATTGAGCCCAAAACCTCTATTGCTCAGTGAGACAGTCATTAAGTGAATTTTGTCCATTCTATGACCTTCCTTGCCACCGTTGTTAAGTGAATCACTGCAGGTGTTAAGTTAGTCACACAGTTGTTCAGTGAATCTGGCTTCCCCCATTGACTTTGCTTGTCAGAAGGTCGCAAAAGGGGATCACATGACCCCTCCAGGTCACTGCGAGCGTCATAAATATGAGTCAGTTGCCAAGAGTTTGAATTTTGATCACATGACCATGGGGGATGCTGCAATGAAAAATGCCCATAAGTCCCTGTTTTCAGTGTGGTTGTAACTTTGAAACGTCATTAAATGAACTGTTGTAAGTTGAGGACTACCTATATTCAGGCAATTGTTATTAAGGAAAACATAGCTTAACTGCAGAGTTTTTGTAGGTATCTAGATTTCTTTGTACAATCACTTCCAAGAAGCAGAAATAAACCACAATATCAATTCTTCCTGGATGCAGATTGCAATCCTTTTTGATCGTCGTGATACGGCGGCTGTACCTTCAAGTCAATTTCGACTCCTGGCAACAGCCTGGACTGGTCCCTTCCGTTGCCTTGGCAACCTTATTGAGAACTGGATTGCCATTGCCTGATTTCTCGGGCTGAGAAAGGATGATCACCCAGCTGGCTTTGTACCCCAGGCAGGACTCAAACAGTCAGCCTCCCATTTTTTGGTCTGGTGCCTTTACCACAACACCAAACGGGTTCTCAGCCATGATCACATATCTGTGGAAAGGGGGCACTGATACAATATTCCCTCCTATGTATTTCACAAGATAGTGAGTTTGGGAAAAGAATATTCCTCTTCCAATTCTGGTATTTTGTGAGCAAGATCTACTCAACTTACCTGCATGTGCGTGTGTGCGTGTATATGTATATACATACATATTTGGGGCCGACAGGGTGCATCAAAAAAACATTCAAGACCTATCTCCCCCCCCTCGTCTCTTCCCTCCCTGATACACCTGACAAAGTGAGAAAGAGCCTGTGGCCTAGTGGTCAACACAACTGCCTAACATGCAAGCAGCCCAGGTTCGAATCTCAGAAGGGTATGGCTGGCTGATGAGAGCTAATTAGCTCGAAATAGCTATACCACTCTCCCTTTAACTCTTTGTTAGCAATCCAAAAATTTAGCATATGTGTGTGTGTGTGTGTGTGTATAGATATAGATAAGCAACCTGTATTCAGTAAATAGCCAGTTTGGTATAGTGATCAGACTAGAAACTGGGAGATCCTGAGTTCTGGTCGTGCCTTGGGCACAAACCCAGCTAGGTAATCTTGGGCCAGTCCCTTTCTCTCAGCCCTAGAAAGGAGGCAATGGCAAACCACTTTTTGCCATAAAATTCCAGGAATTTGTCCAGGCAGTTACCAGGAAGTCAAGACTGATTCAAATGCACCAAAAAAATAAAATCAATAAAGAAGATTAACAAAGCAGAACAGATACGCAGGTTAACTCGCTATGTGATGCTTGTGTGGATATTGGGAATATTCCAAATTCTACTTTGGGGAAGAGGCAAGACTGAATGCAGTCTGCAAACCCCTGCAAATGCAGAACAAGCTCAATGTGAATCATTGTCTCTTATTTTCTCTTAAAGTTTTGATCTTTTCCAGGTGGACATATCTCACAGCATAGTGAGTAATTTTGCTTGGCACCTTCCTGGTAATTCTCCATAACAAGATGAAGCAGAAGAGATTACGCTCTATTAGCTACAGAAGCAGATGCATTTTTTTAAAGCTCTCCTGGAGCTGAATTGCCATTATTAAATGTTAATAAAGTGGAGGGGGAGCCAACATACCTTTGCTAATTTCTCCCCGTCTTCTCTTTTCACCACTCGGTCCTGGGTTGAATCCACCTAAGCACAACAAGAAAGCGTCAATATTTGCAGCAGGAGCAATGCATTCTGGGACTGCTCGGATAACCTTGGTCCCATCATCTGGCAGGTCTCCAGCTCGGATGGACCAAACCAGCACCCGGCCGCCCTTCCTGCAGCAGGCGAGGGCTTTGAGGCAGGGCTGGGTGAGTGTTTTGAGGTTGCATTTCTTCCTACGCAAAGCATCTCCAGCATCCTCTACCCTCTCCCCGTCTTAAACAGCTTCTGTGTGCAAAACAGATCCAGTCCAACGTCAGGCTGTAAGTCAAGTCCTCACCTTGTTTCCCAGCAGCATAAGGACCACGTCTTGCTTTGCGTATTCATGGATTTCTGTCAGCCAAGCCTAGAAAGGAAGACAGAACAATCAGAGACCCCAGGAGCAAAATCTGGAAGGTATCTGGGGGAGACCCTAGACCAGGAGTAGGCAACCTTGGCTCTTTTATGACTGGTGGACTTCAAGTCCCAGAATTCCTGAGCCAGCATGGCTCAGCTTGGAAACTTCTCTCTTTCCCTCAGCATGGCTGGCTCAGGAACTCTGGGAGTTGAAGTCCACAAGTCATAAAAGAGCCAAGGTTGCCTACCCCTGCCCTAGATAGTTTCCAAAACGAATTATTGGAATATTTCAAGGAATCAGGAAAAGCTCTCCTGATGTCTGCAATGTTTCTTATACAGGTAGTCCTTGACTTACAACCACAGTAGGGAGCAGACTTTCAGTCACTAAGCAATGCGGTTCTTAAATGAGTCACCGTGTGATTGGGCCCAGTTTTACAACCATTTTTAACCACGGTCGTGAAGAGAATTATGGCGCTGATTAAGTGAAGATTAAATATCCTGTGTGACCGGCGGAATTAAATAACACTTTGCATTCAACTCAGCTTGTAGAAGTAGTTCTTGACTTACAACAGTTCACTTAGTGACCTTTCCAAGTTACAATGGCACTGACTTATGATTGTTTTTCACACATATGACCATTGCAGCCTCCCCAGGGTCATGTGATCAAAATTTGGACGCTTGACAACTGACTCGTATTTATGACGGTTGTAGTGTCCCGAGGTCACGTGATTCCCTTTGGCGACCTTCTGACAGGCAAAGTCAACGGGGAAGCCAGATTCACTTAACAACCACGATACTAACTTAACAACTGCAGTGATTCACTTAACAATTGTGGCAAGAAAGGTCGTAAAAAGGGGCAAAACTCAAACAAATGTCTCTCTTAACAACAGATGTTTTGGGCTCAATTGTGGTCGTAAGCCGAGGTTGCCTACCCCTGGGCTATCCTATCAAAGAGAGGGACTAGGGGGTGACATGATAGCCGTCTCCCAGTACTTGGGGGTCCATCCCAGAGAAAAGGGGGTCAACCTTTTCACCAAAGCACCTGAGGTCAGGAGAAGAAGTAATGGGTGGAAGATCTTCAAAGAGAGATTGAACCTGGAATTAAGGATATTTTTTTCTGACAGTGAAAATGAAATAGCTCGACTCCCAGAATTGTGGGTGCTCCATCACTGAAGATTTTCAAGAAGAGATTGGACAATCATTTGACTTGGATGGTATAAGGTCTCTTGCCTTGAGCAAAGGGTTGGGACTAGAAGACCTCCATGGTCCCTTCCAGTCCTATGATACTATGATATGGTTGGTGCACTCTGGTTTCTTTTGACTGAACCTGCCCCCTGGAGTGAGGTTCTCCCCTAGATACAGATGGGCCCCACTCTGTTCTGATCTAGAAGAGCTAGGAAGACCTGGCTCTTCACCCAAGCATTCAGCAGAGAGCGAGACCTCTTGCTTAATTAAGCTTACCAACTTTTATCTTGATCGATTTTATTGTAATTTCTTTGTCTGCTTCTTGGGAACCATCAGAATTGTTGAGAGTTGGGTGGCATGCAAGTTTAATAAATTATTATTGTTACAATTGTTTTATTATTTGCTAACACATGTGAAGAATGGTTGCATTGATGAGAAGTTAAAAATTATATAAAAATTAATAACAGGATATGGATTGTTTATGAAGATTGAATGTAATTAAGATATATATAAGCTAAAAAATTATTGATAAATGTAATAATGATGTTTTTATTGAGTTGATATAATTAGAAATGTACTAGATTGAATACGAGATAGTAAATGTTAAGGGAAAAAGTGAAGAAATAAATATCTGTTGTTGTAACCTGAGATTTGCACTAAAGATTTTGTTATGGAATTATTGATTAACCCAGTCACCACGTTGCTTTTTAAATACTCAAATGTAAAATTGGAAAATTAATAAAATATTATATATATATATAAAAGAATGGTTGCAGGAACAGGCATGGCTAGTCTAGTGAAGAGAAGGATCAGGGGAGACATGAAAGCAGTCTTCCAATATTTGAGGGGCTGCCACAGAGAGGAAGGGGACAACCTATTCTCAAACCATTCTCCAAAGCACCAGAGGGCAGGACGGTTGGAAACTGACCAAAGAGAGAAGCAACCTGGAATTAAGGAGAAACTTCCTGACAGTAAGGACAATTAACCAGTGGAACAGCTTCCCACCAGAAATCGTGGGTGCTCCATCACTGGAGGTTTTTAAGAAGAAACTAGACCACAGGTTGGCAACCTGCGGCTCCGGAGCCGCATGTGGCTCTTTGAGCCTTCCCCTGTGGCTCCCAGCCTCCTCTGCCATTTGCAGAGAGAGACAGAGACAGAGAAAGGCACTTGCGCTTCCCTGCTTCTCTCTCTCTGTCTCTCTCTCTCTGTTTCTCTCTCTCTCTCTGTGTGTGTGTATGTAAAAAAGAGTAGACTCACGGTGTTCTCCGACAAGCTGAAAAGCTTTTGGGGCGGGGCTCCTCCCTTTGCTGCGTCTCTGCAGGAAGCAGGAAGGGCAGGAGAGAGCTAGCTAGCCCAGCTATGCTGACTCAGGAATTCTGGGAGTTGAAGTCCATGAGTCATAAAAGAGCTGAGGTTGCCTACCCCTGAGCTTGTTGGAGAACAGCTTGAAGCCAGCTTGCCAGGTGAGCAGAAGATCGGAGAGAGGGGGAGAGAAAGAGAGGGGGGGGGAGAAAGAGAAAGAGAGAGAGGGAGGGAGGGAGAGAGAGGAAAGAGAGAGAGTGGGGGAAGAGGACTGGCAGACCAAGGGCAGAAAGAGAGAGAGGGGGAGAGGGAGGATTTTAGATATCAAATGGGTTTTGCGGCTCCCAGTGTTTTGTTTTCAGTGGGAAATGGGTCCAAGTGGCTCTTTGAGTGTTTTGGGTTGCCTATCCCTGAACTAGACAGTCACTTGTCTGAAATGGTATAGGTTCTCTTGCTCGAGCAGGGGGCTGGACTAAAGACCCCCAAGGTCCCTTCCAGCTCTATTCTATTCTATTTTCCAAAGCACCTAGAACTAAGGAGAAATTTCATTACAGTGAGAACAATTAACCAGTTGAACGGCTTGTCTTCAGAAGTTGTAGGTTCTCCGTCACTGGAGGCTTTTAAGAAGAGACTGGACAGCCACGTCAGAAATGGTATAGGGTCTCCTGCTTAAGCAGAGGGTTGGACTATGTGACTTCCAAAGTCCCTTCCAACTCTATTATTCTGTTATTTTCTCTATGACAACCTGTCCCTAAACTGGTCCTTTAGGTTTTGAAATATTATAGGTACATTCACAAATCCTGTCACTAACCTTCATTGGTGGTCAGGGAATAGAAAGAATCAACTCCTTTTTGGCCTCACACTCTGCCCAAAATCCCAAGTTATATGTCTTCAGCCATTTTCCCATTCCTTCATTTTTTGCCAAAATGTGTATTTTGTGCAATTAAAACTATACCTGTTTGTTAAAACTGATTGTTTCCCCCCCTTTTTTTACAAATATATTGCTTATGCTTGTTTCTATTTTTGTTGTTATTATCAAGAGCCCGGCATAATATTTTTCAGTAGAATAATCTTGCTTGCTATTATGCTATATCACATTTTATTTCTAGTATCCAATAACTGGTTTTGGGCACATGATGGTGCTAAAGAGACAATAACTGTGATGGGGAAAAATAATCAGTATTTGCCTCAAACACAAGCTCAGATTCTTATCATTAAGAGTGAATTTTGAGACACTTATCTATACAGAATTTTAAAACTTGGAAAAAAGTATCCTGCACAATAACGAAGTAGTGGGTGTAGTAAACAGTTTTGCACTTCTCCATTCTTAATCTCTCTTTGGGGAAGAAACCTGTGGATAAGCAACATGTGATTGTTTAGGGAACTGCACAACTGAAGAGCTTCTCAAAAGTTATCCAGGTTCCTAATGTCAAAAATCCTCTAGCACAGCACCATGGAAAAAGATAAGATAAGATATAAAATATAAGATATAATATATAAGATATAAGATAAGATAACCTTGTCTTTTTTTTTTACTGTGGGCACAACGGCACACATCAAAAATGAAATTTAGTTGCCCGCTCTCAAAGTGAAACACATACATGACGCACACCTAAACATACTATGAACAACATATGTATAGACCCACATCCCTACATATACGTAGCAAATAAATATTAAATACTGTCCATCTTGAATATATAACGGAAGGAGGAAGCTTGAGAGTTCACAAGGTTAATGCTGTATGGAATGAAACTATGGCTGAATCTGGATGTTCTGCTACGGATACCACGAAGTCTCCTTCCAGAAGGTAACAGGGAAAACAGGTCATGAAGAGGATGTGTAGTGTCCCAGATAATCTTACGGACCCTGCTTAAACAACGCTTATATGCCATGTCCTGGATGGGAGGGAGGGAACTGCCAATGATCTTTTCAGCCATTCTCACCACTCTCTGCACCACCTTCCTGTCTGAAGCAGGGATACTTCCAAACCAGACTGTGATGCTGTATGACAGGATGCTCTCAATCGTCCCCCTGTAGAAAGTGGTCAGGACAGGGGAAGGAAGATGTGCTTTTCTCATGCAACACAGAAAATGCAGCCGCTGCTGTGCCCACTTCACCAGTTTCTCACTGTTGAGCGACCAAGCCAGCCTACCCGTTAGCTGCACACCCAGGAATTTGATGCTGGTAACCATCTCCACAGGTGAATCATTTATGCACAGAGAAGTGTGGCTGTGCCTGCCTTTTCTGAAATCAACAATGATCTCTTTGGCCATCAAGTCTTACATTAAAATCTCAAAGAAAGAAGCCCTCACTTTCTCAAGGTGTGTGCTTCTCTTGTCAGTCAACTCTGTCATCCTAAAGTTATTCAACCCCCCCCCCCAACAATTTTTGCTCAATTTAGCAGGATGTGAAAACTCATCGGAAGGAAGTCCCAAACCAGCCAACCAACCAACATTATAGCACCTAGCAATAGTAATATCACTTTGACTTATATACTGCTTCAGCCCTCTCTAAGCAGTT